ACACACACACACACACACACACACACACACACACACACACACACACACCCTCCTCCCTGAAGGCAGGCCATCTTTGTATCCTTGGCAGAAGGGATCCCAATGTTGTACCCTCAGTATGATGCCCGGTAAACAGTAGACACTTAATACTCACTGACAGCGAGCATACGGTCATGCATTTAACAGACACTTAATAAATGCTGAATCTGGTCCAAAGACCAGTGTTTGAGAAAGGGAGAGAGCAGCAGACTTAAGCAAGGGAACCCACAGGGCTAGGGGCAGAGGCGGCACCCAGGCTCAGACAGGCCTGGGCTCGCTAAGGCGTCTCCCACAGTTGGGAGTTTGGGCTGGGCCAGCCTCCAAAAAGGGAGCGTTCTCAGGGTGGAGGCCTCTGCCCACACACCTTCACTGGCAAGTTTATATGCAAGGGCTCCCAATCAAGGGACCCAGAACACGGAAAGCTGGCCATCTCCCAGGGAGAGATTAGTAGGGGAGCGGATAAGCATTTATTAAGCACCTACTACATGCTGGGCACTGGGCTAATAAGCACTTTACAAATATTATCTCATTGTGTACTCACAACAACCTTGTGAGGTCGCAGGTCCCATTATTATCCTCATTTTACAATTGGAGAAACCAAGGAAGAGGTTAAGTGACTTGCCCAAGGTCACAAAGCTAGTCTATGAGGCAGGATTTGAACTCAGGTCTTCCTAACCCCAAGATATCCACTATACCACCTAACTGCCTCCTAGGCACCCTTCTACGGAAAAGACAAAAGAATACGGCTAATGGGAACAGAGCATCAGAACTCCTAGAAAATGCCTCGGTTAACCTGCCTGCCACGAGGAAAAGACAAAAGAATACGGCTAATGGGAACAGAGCATCAGAACTAGAAAATGCCACGGTTAACCTGCCTGCCACAAAGCAATAACCAAGCCTTGGTTCCCAAGTGTCTGCTTAGGATAAACAAGGCCTATCCCCAAACAGCCCTGCCTAGCATCCACCCACTAGATCCCAGGATGTGAGAACTGGGGGGCACTTTAGAAATTCTCGATTCCCATCTCCTTATTTTAAAGGGAGAATTTGAACCAAGGCCTTTGGACTCCAAGGCTAAGGCTCCTTCCTCCATAGCATGCTCCACTTTAGCAAGGGCTCCCTCTTCTTGCTCCAGGCACACACCCGGGGCCAAATACGAGGCCACCATCGTCCCCTCCCTCCTCACAGAGAAGCTGGGAAAGTAGTAGGGATGTATAGCCTTAGAAAGCCTGGGGTCAAAAGCCACAAGTAAGAGCCTTAAGAGGGTGAAGAGCTTCATTTCCCATCCTACCCAAGAAGGTCCCTTGGGCCTCCCAAGTCAAAGGAGAATCTCCACTGGAAACTGCCCTACTGGAGAATCATGGACACAATTGATTACCTTAGGGAACGAGGAACTCATCACACCCAATTTTTCTCACTCTTGACTTGTTCCCCACCCCACCTCCAGTGCTGATCAAGCTATTTCCACTGGGAAGGGGAGGGAGGGAGGAATCATGAACAATGAGTCACTTTCCCCTACCCTATAAAGCAAAACTGAGACTGAAAAGGGGTTTCAGGTAAGGGGAGAGGCAGGCTGACATACCAAGACCCAGACACCAAGCAAGACCTGAACTTTCAAGTGGGAATGTCATGAATACAGATCTCATGGGCATTGTAACAGCCTTGCCTTGGGGTGGCAAGGGCATAATGGGGGAGGATCCAGGCCATCAGTGGCTATTCAAAGACTCAGAACTCACTTCCCAAACTGTTCCAGTCCTCATCTGCACCCCAAAAGTAAAAGGGGTATTCTCCCAGAGGCAAATGGCCAAGAAGACAGACCACCAGGCTTTTTACCCATCACCAGCCCCATCCCCCAGAAAAGGATCTCCTTTTCCTAGGGAGGAACCTCTGGTCTTTTGGGCAGGGGAGATCCTAGCGGTTAGCAACCTCATGGTCCCCCTATGATTAAATTAATCCCCATTCTATGCAGCATCCCCCCTTTCCTGACCTGTGACCAATAGCTAGGTCTCCCTAAGATTATCTCATCACCCCCCCCAAAAGGCCAAAGGACATATATCCAAGTTCTCTCCCCTCAAACCCAGGAATCGAGGGCTGAATGCTCCTCCCTGGACTCAAGTTCCAATGGGGTGATCTGGGATATGTATGTAGTGGGTAGGGCCCCCAGAGAGCACAAGCCGCAAGCCCACAGGCACATTTAGTCAGCAAGGAGCCAGGAACCCAAACAACCTGTCCCTACCTTATCCTCCCTGTTCAGAGGTCAGGGCAAGTTGCCATCAGAGAGGGGTGGAGGTGGGAAAATTCACTGAACCTATGAAATGTAAGGAACTCTAGAGAAAAAAAAAAACACCTACTATACCCTCATTAGATGAAGAAACTGAGGCTCAGGGAGAAGTGATTTGTCTGAGGTCTCACAGATAAGGAAATGGTAGAACCAGCATTCAAAACCTACTCTTCCGATTATAAAACCAGTGCTCTTTAAATTATACTCCACTAAAGCCTATTAAAGTCTCACACCTACGCCCACACCAGCTTTTTGAGTCACCTATAGATCCCAGAAGAAGTCCACCAGTCTAGGCCACTGCTATATCTGAAACACTGGGGGGTAGGGGGGAGGCAAGCAATTCTGAGCATCTCCCCTCTAATGCTAGATAATACAGCTATGAGCTTCCCCTGGGGCACGACTCTGGATTTGGAAAGGAGGGGGGAGGGACTTTGATATCACCCCTCCTAGATCAGAGGGAAAGGGGCCATAAAAAATACTACAGAGAACAGAGATCAGGCCTCAAAGGACTATAATGAGGGTAGCACAAGGCAGAAATGAAAGGCACTATCAGCTCACCCAAACGTGCTTTTCCCACCAGGCTGGATCCCAAGCCTAGGCCTGATGCCTGGCCCAGCCCCACAGTGACAGGAAAATCTGTTTCTTCCCAGGCCCTTGAATTACCTACTCCACCCAACCACCTACCCCCCTAGGGGCCTTCCTGGCATCCCACCTGCCTCGGACCCAGTAGCTCAAGTCATAAAGGGGTTCATAGGAAAGGCAAGGATAAATATACCCCCAACCTCTGGTGAAACTAAGGACAAGCTCAAACCTGCGGAAGTCGGAGGGGACAGCCTGCCCTCCCCCATCCCCACATCCAGGGCAGGGGACCAGGCTGGACAGGAGGAGGAGGGGCTCAACCCCATCCCTGAAGCACTTGCCCCCCCCCTCACAGAAACTCCCACCCCTCCTCCCCCAAAAAACACCCCAGTCACTGAGAGTTTAAAACAACAGAAACTAGTTCTACTGCCCTGGCAGGTTTAGCTTAACTACAAGGGGGCAGCCAACCCCCCCAACACAGCACCCCCACCTGAATTTTCCCAGACACCCAATATACACTGGAACCCCCCCCCCAAAAAAACCGACCCAGCTCTCTTCAGCGTCAAAAACAAGACCTCTTTGGAACTCCCAAGTCCTCCCGGCTGCCCCTCCCTAAAGTCAGGGGATCCCCTCAAACTGCCTCACGGGGTGGGGGTTAATACTTGAGGAGGGGGAGAGAACTAGCCCAAACTGGGCAGATTTCCATCCCTTCCCCTCCCCCCTCGGCGCTGAGTGCTTCCCTGGAAGTTTTTCCCTAAAGGAGAGCTCTGCTGCACTAAGTGGGGGCAGAGGGAAGACACACGTGCTGTGGGGGGTGGGGGGAAGGAGGCAGAGAGTCTAAGCAGCCAAGCCAGAGAGGGGGCGGTGACCCCAGCCCCAATCACGTTAACCCTTCACCTGCTGCAGCACTTTGTCCAGCGGCTCGGCCCGGCCCAGCCCCTCCGCGCTCAGACCGCTCGCCTCCCTGCACTGCTCGCTCAGCTCCGTGTCGTCCGCGCGCACCAGGGACTTGTGCAGGGTCCCCACCTGCGGCCGCGGGGGGAAAGGGGCTGCAGTCAGCGGCGGGCGGGGGGCCCGGGGGAGCTCCCAGCCCCAGCGCGCCCGTGGGCCGCGGCCTGCCCGTCCCACCTCCAAAGCCTGCCCCGCGTCCTCCCCCCCACGACCCCGAGGAGCCAGCTAGGGGGCCCCGCGCGGCCGGAGCCCCCAGACGGCCCCCGCCCCCAGCACGCCGAGGGGCGCGCGCAGCTCGCGGCCAGCTCGGGAAGCGCCCCGAAGGCAGGGCCGGCTCGCCTTTGTGGCTGCTCCAGGGCGGGGGCCGGGAGCGCGGGGGGGAGGGGCACAAGCCCCCAACCCCGGCACGCCCCAGGGGGCCTCGAGCCCGCCCGAAGCCCCCAGCGTCGCGGCCGCGCCGCCACCACCACCTACCAGCACCGACCCCGGCCGCGGCCCCGCCGTCCCTACCTTCCGGCTGTGAAGATCCACAACTTGCCACACCAAGAGAATTAATTCCCTCTCATCCGAGCCCAGTTTAGCCCCCAGAGCACCAGCGGTTGCCCCAAACAAGACCACCAGGGAGTCAGGGTGCGCAGAAGGAGGCGGCGGCGTCATGGCCCGGGGAGGGGAGGGCTACAATCAAAGACACGGGTCAGGGCCGGAGACACCCACCGAGCACCGGGAGCACGACACAGGGGACCCCGTGAGACCCGGGGTGGGAGTGGGGGGGCCGGACCCAGACGGGGCGGCTCTACCTGAAGCCAGGGCTGCTGCTCCGTCCGGCCGCCTCCAGCCCTGCGTCCGCCGCCTCTCCGCGCGGGGCCGAGTGGAGGCGAGGTGACCGCGCTCGGGCTCTTCCCCTCTGGCTTCATGGCAAGGGCCCAGCCAGCTCCGGCTCCCCCCACCGCCCCCGCCCTCGCAGGAGTTACCTGCCCCGGCCTGGGCCACGTGACTGGAGGAGGCTCCCCTAGGGAGCGGGCATTGGCTCCTGGGGGGAGGTGGAGGAGGGACCTGGGGAGGGGAGGATCGGCCCGGCGCAGCTGGCCTGATTGGTTTGGGGAGATCAGAGGAGGAGGAAGAGGAGACAACACACACACCCACTCACCCCAGCCCCCACCCGGCCTCGCCCCTCCAGGTTCCCTCGGTCTAGGCCGCCGGCCCCAGCCGCCAGGTGCGCCCGGATTCCGAGTGCCCCAACCGGAGGGCGGAGGGGACGGACGGCAAGGTCACGTCCTCCCTCACCTGCGGCCCTCGGCCCACGCTGCTGATTCCAGAAAGCCAGCTGGAAATATCCCAGCGGGGACAAAATGGAAACTTGGGCCTGTCCGAGGTCACCTGGGGTCAGTAAGGCCCTGTTTGGGGTCACCTCCGGGTCAGTCCTGGCCCGGACTGCTTCCCCTTTAGAGCTTCCAGCGCTAAACGGTGCAAAGATCCACTCTTGTTCAGTGGCTCCTAAGCGTCCACTGGAGGGGCCTTTAGCCCCCAACTTCCGATAACCCAACATCTGAACTCCGATAGCACTTCCGTTATCATCATTCCACCTCCTGTTCCAATTGTGGGTGCCCAGGTCCTATTCCCCTACAAGGAGCAGGTGGTGTTCATCTCCGAATCCTCCCCGCACCTTTCCCGTAACTTGGTTTCAGTGCCTGTCTGTTCAAAGAATGGATGTCTTTGAAGGACTTTATGAGACTGTTTTTCCGGCAAAGTTTACTTTCCCTGATGATAATTTGCTTAAGTTAACATTCAGAAGGGGCTGCCTTTCCCAGGCCACACACACTAATGTTAACTTATTAAGACTTTTAAGTTGACAAAGTGTTTTGCATATATACTCTTTCCATTGGAAGTCAGGTCTAACCACATCACCTCCCTCCCTATTCAATACATTTCAGTGACTCCCCATTACCTCCAGAATCTAATATAAAATCCTCTGGCTTTTAAAATCGTTCATAACCTGGCTTCTTTATATCCATAATCCCACCTCACTCCCAGATACCCCAAGATCCAACATCCACGGGCCTCCTTGCTCTCCCTCTTTCAAGATATTCCATCTCTCTACTAGCATTTTTACTGGCTGTCCCTCATGCCTGGAATCCTCTCCTCCTCTCTGCACCCCCCAGCTTCCCTGGCTCCCTCAAGTCCTAAGTAAAATCCCACCTTCTACAAGACTTTCCCAGTCCCCCTTAATATCAATGCCTCCCCTCTGAGACTACTCCCAGACTATCCTGTATATATCTGTTTATTCTGTACATTTGTTTGCACGTGTTAGATTGTAAGCTCCCTGAGAGCAGGGACTGTTGTTTGTTATTCTTTGATTCTCCAGTGCTCTGCAAAGTGTCTGTCACTTAGCAGGTGTATAATAGATGCTTGTTGACTGAATGTCCCCAACAATCTATAGTGTAAATATTACTGCCATTTTACAGACGAGAAAAAGGAGGTTCAGAGTCAGAAAATGATTTGCTCAGTCAAGATCACCTGGGCTAGTAAATAGCAAAGACATAAACGCAGGTCGCTGACTGCAAATCCAGGGCTATTCGACTCCACCAGGCCACTTCCTCCCTACGCGACTCGGGAGCAGGTATGTAGAGGTGGTCAAGCAGTCCTAAGATCCCAGAATGGAAGAGCCGCAAGGGACCTTAGAACAGCGAATGTTGGAGCAAGAAGGGACCCTGCAGCCGTCCAAACCCCCCAGCCGACGTCTAGGGCCAATCAAATTCTGCGAGTCCAAGCACGGCATTAGTTCCCAGCTGCGGAAGGGTTTCTCGAGCCTACTGTATGCTCCAAGCCTAGGTGCAGGTAGAGGGGAGGGGGCTGAGAGAGGAGACACGCAGGCTCGGAGTTGCTCGTCTAGGGGAAGCCTCGGGATTAACGCTCCGGAACAGAGAACAAAACACAAGCGAATGCTGCGTTTGATTGTGGCCGGTTGGCTTTGAGTGCTGGGCGTCAGGGAGAGGAAAGCGGAGCGTCTGCGGCCGTTCTAGACAGGGCTCTCTCCCCGAGGGCTGGATCCGGGCTCTCCAATCAGAAGGGGAGCCGCCAGCTGAGCCCGGGAGAGCTGGAACAAACCCCAGGGAATGGTCCCCTCCCCCATGCAGAAGATGCTGGCGTTGGAAGGCGGGAGAGAGACACGGCGGCGGAGGGAAAGGCCCCTCACTCCCAAGCAATCCCCGAACCGAGAGTGCAGACCCCGGCCCGGCTTTCTGTCCACCTGCTGGCCGGCCGCTGCTCTCCACCCGTCCCCCAGCCCAAGCCCTGCGCCGGACCTCAGGCTAATCTGTAACCTGCCCGGGGCGGGGTCCCAAGCGGCTCCTTCCGCCACCTGGCCTCCCCCTTCCCCCGAGACTTTCGCGCCTTTTGGCCAGTGTCCGGAAGTTTGGGAGCCGACGGCCCACGTGCTCTTCGGCCGCAGGTGAGCGGGCCGACGGCTCTCCGGCGGACGCCCAGCCCTCCTCCTCCCCACCCCGGGCCTTACCCTGCCAGGACCTCTCTTCTCCTCTCCCCGGAGCTCCACACCCATGCTTTATTCTTCCCGGGATATCCTCTGTCCCCACTCCCCACCTCTGGCATGGCTGGAGGGACCCTTGGAAAGTGGGGAGGGGGAGATAACTTCACTGTAGGGAATGAGCATTTATGTGGCGCCTACTCCTGGGCCAGGAATCGTGCTGAGCACTTTACAAATATTGCCTCGTTTGAAAGACCCTTGGAAAGTGGGGAGGGGGCGATCATCTCACCAATGGGAGAACTGAGGCAAGGGAGGGGACCCAAGATCAAGCTCCCCCCAGCAGGCCACCGTGGGGCACCTCAGTCCAGCAGCCAGGTCGGGGCCATTCCTAGCCCCACTCTGGTCACCCCCCCCCTTCCCCGAAGCACTGGATTGCTCGAGGGGAGGGGAGGGATTTGCTGAATCCCGTCTCCACCCACCTGGCCTAACTAAAGGCTCCTGGAGCGGGCCTGATGATCTCTCCCAAAGGCGCCCCCCCCCCCCCCCCGAGCCCCTTCCGTGGTCCTCCACCCACGAAGGCCAGACTGAGGCGGCTTCTGTGGATTGTCTGGGACTGCGGGCCCTGCTGGGGCCAGGGGTGGGGGGGAGGTCGAGGGAACCCTCCTGGGACTGTTTGTTTGGCTTTGCTGGCGAGGAGATCCCAGAGCTCTGGTTGCCTGGGAACTGAGAAGGAGCAGCAGGACGGGGCCGAAAGTGTGTGTGAGTTATCCTGGGTGCTTGTGTCAGAAGGGGAGCGTGCTTGGTGTTGTGCAGTGCTCGAGAAAGGGAGTGTCTGTATCGTTGTATATGAGGGGAGGAGGTGCACGTGAAAGGCAATGTGTGGGGAGGGGGGATTCTTGTAATCTAGTGTCGGTTGTGGGGATGTATTTGCAAAAATCGAATGGCTTTTCTGTTTAGGGTGTCTTGTGAAATTGACTGTTTAGAATGTGGAGTGTTGCATAAAGTGAATTATCGTGTGTGTGTGTGTGTGTGTGTGTGTGTGTGTGTGTAGGGGTGATATTCATGGTCTTTGGGAAAGGGTGTGAAAGTGTGAGTTTCGTCTTTTTTTTTTTTAGGTTCCTGTCCTTTATCTCTCACAGCAAAGAATTTCCTCTGACTTTGATGAGAAAATTAAAGGCATTCACAGTAAGCTCCCCTTTCTCCCTTATTCCACACTTCAGAATTCCTCTCAGAATCCTCCATTCTCCCCTACTCCTTTCTCGATTCAATGAGAAAATTGAATTGAACAAGTTTTTATTGGTTAAGAAACATTTATTAAGTGTCTACTCTGTGCCTGCACTGGCAGCTAACAGTCTGGTTAGGAAGACACCGTGGGAATAACTATATATAAACAAGATAAATACAGAATTAATTTGAGATAATCAACGGAAAGAAGGCCCTCGAATTAAGGGGAACCAGGAAAGGCATCTTGTAGTGAGAAGAATTGGAGACCTCCAGTCTAGAACAGACTTCCAAGTCTGGAATTGGAGACCTTCAGTCTAGAATTGGACGCCTGTAGTCTAGAATTTCCAACTGCCTATTGGACATATGAAATAGGAGGTCTAGTAGACATCTAAAACCCAATGGGTCCAAAACTAAACACAATTCCCCTCCCCAACTCTTCCCTCTTCCTAATTTCCCTATTACTATAAATCATACCATCATCCTTCCAGTTACTCTCGAGCCCCCATCAGGAATCAGTTGGCAAGCTCTATCATTTCTGCCTTCATAACATCCCTCCTGTGTACCCCTTCTCTATTCTCACCCCCCCCATACAGTCTACAAATATTTATTGTTGTTGTTCAGCTATGTCTGACTCTTTGTGACCCCATTTGGGGTTTTCTTGGTAAGATACTGAAGTGGTTTGCCATTTCCTTCTCCAGCTCATTTTACAGATGAAGAAACTGAGGCAAACAGGGGGAAGTGACTTGCCCAGGGTCATACAGCTAGCTAGTAAGTGTCTGAGGTCAGATTTTAACTCGAGGAGCTATTCTTCCTGACTGCAGGCCTGAAGCTGTATCTACTTCACCTCCCCTTAAACATTTATTAAGTGCCTACTACATGCCAGGGCACTGCGAAACACCCTGGGGATCCAGAAAGAGACAAGAGATAGTCCCTACCCCCAAGGAGCTCACAGCCTAAGGGGAGAGACAACAAGCAAACAATATGTAAAAACAAGCTCTACCCAGGATAAATAGGAAATAATTAACAGAGGGAAGGCACTAGAATTAAGAGGGCTTGGGAAAGGCTTCTTGAGGAAGGGGGTTTGGTAGGGTTTAAAGGAAGCCAGTAGGTGGAGATGAGAAGAGAGCATTTCCAGGAATGGGGGACAGCCATGTAAAATGCCCAGAGCCGAGAGATGACTGTCTTGTGGGTGGCGAAGCCAGATCACTGGGTCAGAGAGGACGTGAGAGCAAGTAAGGTATAAGAAGGCTTAGAAAGGTAAGTTTTGAAGGCTAAACACAGAATTTTTGTATTTGATCCCAGAAATGGTAGGGAGCCACACCACATGGGGGTGGTGAAATGGTCAGACCAGACTTTGTGGGTGAGTGGAGGGTGGATTGGAGTGGGGAGAGACATGAGGCGGGCAGCCGCACCAGTAGGCTATTATGATAGCTCAGGTGGAGACCGATGAGGGTCTGCACTAGAATGATGACAGAGGGAGGTGTAGAGGTGAAATGGACAGGCCTTGGCAACAGATTGCATATTTGGGGAAGGGATGAAGAGTGAAAGATGGGGGCAGCTCGGTGGCGAAGTGGATAGAGCACCAGCCCTAAAGGCAGGAGGACCTGAGTTCAAATCCAGCCTCAAACCAAACACTTCACACTTACTAGCTGTGCTACCCTGGGCAAGTCACTTAACCCCAATAGCCTAAAAAATAAAAAAAGAGTGAAAGATGATTCTGGGTTTCTAGTCTAAGCAATTACAAGGATGGTATTGCTCTCAACAGTAATTAGAGGGAAAAGCTTTTGGGGAAAGATAATGCGTTCAGTTTTGGACACGTTGAGTTCAAGTCTGCTGGTTATACATTTCAAGATGTCTGAAAGGCAGTTGGAGATGTGAGATTGGCAGTCAGCAGAGAAATTAGGATAGGATAGGTAGATTTGAGAATCGTTAGCATAAAGATGGTCATTAAATCCTTAGGAGCTGATGAAATCACCGAGAGAAGTATAGAGGGGAAAAAAGGAAGAGGGCCCAGGCCAGAACCTTGAGGGACACCTATGGTTAAGAGTGGAGGAGGATCCAGCAAAGGAGACAGAGGAGTGTCCTGAAAGGTAGGACAGAGTGGTCTCCCAAAAACCAAGAGAAGACAGTATCGAGAAGGAGAGGGTGATGAGCAGTGTCAGAGGCTGCGAAGAAGTCCAGAAGAATGAGGATTGAGTAAAGGCCGTTGGATTTGGCTTTGTGGTGTGATTCTCCGTAACCTCGGAGAGAGCACGGTCAGTGGAATGATGAGAGTGGAAGCTGAATTAGGGTGGAGAGCACCGGCCTCAGACATGCATTTTAAGGACTTCAGCCACAACAGGTAGAAGAGATGTAGAAAGATAGTTATTGGAGATGGAAAAAATCAAGGGAGGATTTTTTGAGAATGGGAGAGACATGGGCATGTTTGCAGACAGTAGGGAAGGAGTTAGTAGACAGGGAGAGATTGAAATTAAGTGATAGAGAAGGGATGATACTTTGGAGGAGACAGGATGGAGTGGGATTGCTTGAACAGATAGATACAAGGGATAGTCTTTTAAGGCTCATCATGTGAGACATTTGAAGAAGGAGATAGTGGCCGGACACATGAGGGATATGAACCGAGGAAGAAGAGGGAGCTCATAAAGTGGAGGGAGCAGGAGCCACAGAAGGTTTCAGGAGGGATGAAAAGGTTTGGAAGAGCCTCTTGTAGAGAGTGGGAGAGTGAATTGATAAGAGATGTATAGTTGGATTGCCTGGCAGCAGTGAGGGCCCAGTTAAGATTGCGTAAATATGTGTAGTGGACCCAATCAAAAAGTTTGCATTGCCCTCATTCAGTGGCTCCCTATTTTTTTTTTAATTTTAATTTATGGAATAAAGCAAGCATTTCCATAACATAGTATAATTTTTTTTGGTAAATAGTATTTTTTTCCAATTACACTTTTTTTTTTGGCTAGGCAACGGGGTTAAGTTACTTGCCCAGGGTCACACAGCCAATAAGTATTATGTGTCTGAGGTTGAATTTGAACGTAGGTCCTCCAGACTCCAGGGCCCATGCTGTATCCACTGTGCTACCTAGCTGCCCCACCAACTACATGTAAAGATAGTTTTCAACATTCATTTTTAAAAAGATTTTGAGTTCCAAATTTTTCTCCTTCTCTCTCCTTCCCCCTCCCCAAGACAGCAAGCAGTCTGATATAGGTTATACATGTCCACTCATGTTAAATATTAGTCTTGCATAACAATATAATAAAAAAATTTTAAGATAAAACATAAAGTCTTGTGATTTTTAAAGCCCTTCATATCCTGGCCCCCTTCTACCTTTTCCAGTCTAATTACACTTCACCCCAGGTGCTCGGTGATTCAGTGGCCCTGACCTCTTTGCTATTCCTCACACAAGACACAACACCTTCTTACTAGAAGCATTTTCACTGGCTGTCCCCACGCCTGGAATTCTCTCCCATCTCCACCTCCTGGCTTTCCTGAATTCCTTCAAGTTTCAGCTAAAGTCCCTCCTCCTACAAATCTTTCCTAGTCCTCCTTCATCTTCATGTCTTCCTCTGATTCTACCCCCAATTTATCCTATCTACATCTTGTTTGTACATAATTGTTTGCATGTGGTCACCCCCATTAGACTGTGGATCCTATACTGTGTCTCCAATACTTAGCACAGTGCCCGGCACATAGTAGATGCTTAATAAATACTGGTTGACTGACTGATGGTCACAGCAACCCTTCAAAGGTTTGTTGTGTAATTATTATTACCAGTGAGGAAATGGAAATGAGTGTTCAGAGCCAGAAACTGACTTGTTCAGTCAAGGTCACCTGGCTAGTAAGGGGGAACAGCCTTGAACTCGGGTCACTTCTGAGACATGTAGGCAGCAGGGAATTAGCCAATACACGGGGAAAGGCTGAAGATTTAGTGAGAGGGTATGGATGATAGAGGGGGCAGTCTATAGGAGAAGGGATGGAATGGGGATCACTGAGGTTTGTAGAGGCAATGTGCTAGGTCCTGAGGATGCAAAGATGAAAAAGGAAACAGCCACTGTCTTCCACAAGCTTACATTCTAAAGGAAACAGCTAAACATATAAGTAAATAAAAGACAATGATAATACTGATAATAGGAAGCAATTATAGTGTGCCTACTATGTGCCTGCTAAGCACTTTATAATTAGTATCTCATTTGATCCTTACAACAACCCTGGGAGCAAGGTGCTATTATCTCCATTTTACAGAAGAGGAAACTGAGGCGGACAGAGTGGCTTGCCCGGCGTCACAAAGCTAGTAAGTGTCTGAGGCTGAATTTGAACTCAGGTCCTCCTGACTCCAAGGCTGGAGCTCTATCCACTTCGCCTCCTAGCTGCCCCCCCCCATTTCTCATTCTTATGTCAGTCCACCCTCCTTGTGTCCTGACTCTAGAGCCCCATTCTGTTGCCCTTTATATTAGACATGTACCTTTCACAATCTTTCCATCATCTAATCATGGAATTCTGGTTCCCCCCAAACACACTGCATCCCTAGCCACCCTCTCCATCAATGAATGGATCTCCACTCATTTTTCTCTCTTCCCTTTCCCCCACTGAGCCAGGTAGCTAAGGAGGCACGTTCGTTGCTCCTCATTACGCTTTGCATACCACCATCATGCAATGATCTCTCTCCTCTTTGGAAGTCCATTCCATTCAAATATATCAGCCTATCCAGATCCTTGTGGTTGTTCCCTACCAGTTACAGTAATCCCTGCCAGATTATTCTAACCTTCTCAGGGTATTCAATACCTAGTCCACCATTTTCCACTCTCTGGCACCCTTTTAGGTAGAGACTTCAATTTACATGTTGGCACCTCCCTTTGCTTCCCATTCAACCCCCTTAACTCTCAATCTAGACTTACAGCCACTCCTTAAACAAGTGTTTAATTGTCCATAATTCTGCTGTTCCTCTATCTGACCATAACCATCCATCCTTC